ATTGAAAGTAAGTAAAGAAACAGACGTAATAAATAACAAGGAAGAAAGAAGAAGGAAAGAATGTAAAAAAAGACTGAAAAAAAAAAACAAACTAAAAAGTGACAAGAAAAAATACTCAGTAACATAATGGTTTTAATAGCCGTCTTCCCACAGGAAATATTCCGCCTTCATTGAGTGAGCAGATAGTGTTACTCACGGCTGGAATTTATAAAATCTTTTAGTTTTTCAGGAAAATATGTTTCTCATGTCCATTAAATGGTATCGTTCTTTCTAGAATTCATGGTAGTTTAATTTGAAAGCTGTTTTTTTTGGTAGTGTGAAACACTAATGACTTGATCCTTATTTTCACGTCTAGTTACTTTCTTTTAGTTGTTGCTGCTGTTGGAAGACTTCAAGTCATATGGTTTTTCAATTTGATAAAGTTCTTTCTGTGTGATTCTGGAACGATAATTTTTTAAATCGAATGAAGTTTTAATTTCTTTAAGATCTAGAGGCGGTTTCATTCGCTTGAGGCCATTTTTAATCATTGATCTGACAAAACGCTTAGTTTAAGCTGATATTTGACATTTCTGAACCAGTTCGACACTATGTATGACATCTATAAAAAAAAAAAAAAAAAAAAAACGCCCCAAGACATGAAAATTCGTGTATGTAAAATTATATGTAAATCTTTATCGATAATAAACAATGAGTGGGGGGGGTGAACATGAAATCAATCTAAAATATAACAAAACACATATTCTAAAGATTATTGATGTTACTAGGACCCGACTAACTGTCAGAAGAAATGAGAAATACTGCGGTATTCTGTCTACAGCAAAATCAAGAAGCTCTCTAAGGGAGACAGACAGATAAAATAAATACAGACGTGGGGAAAAAATGACCCAGTCGAGATGGGACCGAAAAAAACCCAAAAAACCCCAAAAAAAACAAGCTGGGGAGGTTGGGAATTTCAGCTAGGATCAGAACCAAAGAAGAAGCCGGGTAAAGGCCAGGAAAAACATTTATATATATTAACTAGGTACATAAGAAGGGTCTGTCCTAAAAAGAATATACCTCGAGTTCAAACGTTAATATTTTAGTTTCGTAGCATGTTGCAATTTTAGACGAAACTACCCCTAGTGCAACCTATCCTCAGTTCAATTTAATTATCTGCTGTACTATTGTTATAACTACACCTACACTGAAGTATTTGAATGTTTTAGGGTCTATTCATTCTAAATTCATAATTTTTATGATGGTTTCAGGGTATGTGCCATCACTACTTTCATTTCAATTACAGATCATAGTTTATATCCTGGAAAGGTTTATCGCAAGTCCTATTTGGAACACTTAGTAGGATATCTACCAACCGCCCCACGCGGTCAGATGTGTAACAAGGCCGAATTTAATGTTGGGTATCCGAACCCGTAGGCTGGGCCAAAAATTCCCCGTAGACCCCGTATAAAACGGGCACGGGTAGCTGTTTCCCGAGACGAGAGTCTGCCCTTCGACATAGACTCGTCTGGATATCCTCTTTTTCCGGAAGTAGAGAGTTTGACCAGTACATCTGGAGACGAACCTCCGACTGCAATTGGAACACTTGGTAGAGGATGACGTCGTTTTGTTTAAAATCTTAAAGCTAGGAGTACCGATGTCATCAGCATAGTCCTCACCCACCCAAGGAGGAAATAAAATTAACAAATAACTGAATGTTTCGTTCGTCGGAAAATCTAAGGCCTAAAAATATCCTTTTTGACTGTTTTTTTCTCCGGCTTTCTTCGAATGTATGGTGCGTTTTTAAATTCATGAAATTTATAACACAGCATCAGGACTTGCGGCTATTGTAAAGGATATCGACACGGAAAGTAGAATCAGCGATCTGATTTCAAATTATGGTCTCGCCTTTTGCGTTTACCTTTTAATCCCCCCACCAAGCAAGGCAATAAAGCCACTATGGGTTACTGATTGTGACAAAATAAGAAAAACAAAAAAACAAAAAAAAAAAACAGCGGGAACAAAACTGAGGAATCAAGAAGACAGCAGATAACGATTGGTATTGTATTTAAATTCTTGAAAATCAAACTTGACTGGGAAGCAAAAAGTTAGAAGAGATTTCCACAGGTGAAAAGTGCGAGAGGAACTATTAAGAAAGAAATACTACTACTATTAAGAAAGAAATACTACTACTACTAAGAATGAAATACTACTACTACAGTTACATGTAGACAATTATACTGTAAAAGATGAGACCACACAGCCAATCTAGTACTGTGTTTAAATTAATAGAGTCTAGATACCATACAGCAAAAAGTCATGATTACGTCTGGGTTGAAGGGAAATAGAATTAGAAAATAGATCTTGAAACGAATTATGTTGTTCTCTTAACTGACTTTTGTAATATATTCGGCAACTTTCAATAAATTAGAAGCACTGTGTTGAAAACTATACATTGGTGTTACACACGGGCGAATGAAGGCAAAGTAAATAATATAGTCATGTGATTTATGCACGAAAACTATGAAGATTTATATAAAGCGATCATCAAAGGGGAAAAATTTGGAAGCAGTTATGCTTGTACTCAAGGTAAATCTTGTCTACACACGGCCAATTTGACGCAGGACTGGCAATTTGATCTCTCTCGAACATTGATATTAATCCCACTGACTTTGCGACATTGCCCAATATGGGGTGGGGCGTGATATTTCACGTTTCCCATACTTAAGTGTGTCGGACCTGAAAGAAACTCTTATGACGTCGTGGCACAATTTGGGTGAAGACATTTTGGAGACGTCATGCACTTCAGTTGAGAAGAAATCAAGGGTTATGGCGCGAAAGCATAGGGTGGCCATTTTGAATTGTAAAGATATTGGCAATAATTATAACAATTAACCTGTAAACTTTCATTAACCAAAATCTAATTTATGATAAAATGAATATACATATATATATATATATATATATATCTATCTATATATATATATATATATATATATATATATATATATATATATATATATATGATGAGAAAGAAAAGAGCACGCGAGCCTGTCAGGAGCTATAGAATGAGCACCTAGGCCACACCTAGTTGCATGTACAACTAAATTTTATTTGAAGTGATTAATCTTATTTCTATATGTTATGTCATTTCAGTTCGTAAACGATCATGACTCTCCACAACTTCCTGTCTGTAGCCATTAACATTGTGCAATAAACAGCGTTTACATGTTAACTTTCGTAAGTGAAAAGCTTTAGCATTGTTGTTTTTAACTTCCTTTCTTTTCTTTCAAATTCAGATCAAAGGTAAAAAAAAAAAATGTTTAAAGAAAAAAATGTCATGCGGATACAAATGAGAAGTTGAATAAGTACAAACGAATAACAAGTTGAATGTTTCTGAATTGAACCTGACGACAACCGATCGTCACTGAAAGACATTGATTTTTCACCGCTGCAGAGGGAAGACCTTGATACACTTGGGTGATTCTTAAGCAAAATGCACTTAGATTTTGTTAGAGAAAATCAGAACGAGGGGAAACATTTAATCGGACGACGGTGACTTTCATGTATCGTGTTGCTATTTATTTATTTATTTATTTCTTGAAGTCGCAAATGGCAACGAATTAAAACGTTTAGCAATTCCCGTTCGATTTGGTTCGGATTTGAGTTATGTCTTCTTGTTATATGCGTCGCGTTCCTTCAGAACTACCATGGCTCGCCACAACTTTCTATATCATGTGACTTAGCAGTTTTTCTTCCTTTGCTAAGGCACCTGATCCCCCGTTCGCCCTTTCATTTGCACAAGCTCGTCAGTTAAGCGCCACGCTGCCTTCCCTCAGTATGACCCACGAGAGTTAAGCATTACAAGCCCTACTTCCTTATTAACATTCCAAGGAATTTTATGTCTTTTCATGATTTTGAGTAGAAGTATTCTTTCTGTTGCCATTTCCTCTAAGACTTCCTTGTTACTTATTCCCTCTGTCCATGGGATTCTAAGTATCCTTCTGTAGAACCACAGTTCTTCTGCTACTAGTTTTTTTTTCCTTCATCTGTGGGGAAATTGTCCAACATTCACTGGCATATAAGACGATGGATATCACATAGCAATCCAGTACTCCTTTCTTTGTTTCTAACGAAATTTTTCCGTTTCTTAGCACCTTGTTTAGTTTTTGGAATTATTATTACACTACTACAATGCGTACTTCGGATCTCGGTGTCATATTGTCCATCTTCTGTTAAAAGACTTCCTAGATATTTGAACTTTTTGCACCTGCTTGCTGTTTATATTTCCAATTCGTAACTCTATACTTTTTGCAGTTTAAAGTTAGTCCTTTATTCCCGCTTTCTTGTATCACCCTGTAAAGATTTATTGCATATAAAATACAATTGTGGCACAAGGACGAAAATGGAGGTAATAGGCTGGGGCTGGTCATCACTTATTATCTTACACCTAGCTAATCAGATTCGCGACTCATTCACTGATTACAATTTGCACATCCACCAAAAGAACTTATCCATTATCATTCAATCCTCCATATAACACAATACCGCAATACTCTCAGGGGACTTACAAAAATACCCCATGGCATAAAAATCAACGGTTATAATATTATATATATATATATATATACATATATATATATATATATATATATATATGAATCTGTCGATGATACGTAATGATGGGGAGGAACGACTCCCAAAAAAAAAAAACTAAATATCAAAGCAAATACACAAAATAAAAGAAAAAAAACGTACAAAAATATTACCCTGTCTAGGAGGTCCTTCAGATTTTAATTTTGTGTCATCCATCAACAATATTGTTGGGATTACGCCCATCGATAATAATCCCTGGTAGGGTCACTCCGGTTCCCTTAGGATGGCGTTGCTGTAGAGGTTGAATACATCTGGCGAGAAGACTCATCCTTGTCTCATGCCCCTTTCGATTGTTGTATTAGTTTTGATTCATTTTGAATAAGCTACGAAATCTATTAATTTCCTTCTTTATATTTGGTGAATTGAAGGTAAGGATCTACCCGAACAACAACTATGTTGGAATTGATGCCATCCAACTGATCTCAACCCCAGAAAGTGCCCGCATATGTAACAGCTGTCGACCAACGAAATATCGTGTGATGCGCTCTCCAGAATTTCAGCGTCCTGTCTATACCAGCGACACAATGTACACAGACAAGTAAGTTCCCCGGATAATAATTCCTTTTCAATAAACACAAAGCGTGCAAAGTAAACCCATTTGTTTAAATGCAGTCCTAGTTATCATCTGTCAAAATTTTAAGATTGCTCTGTAGTTAAATTATATAAAAATGACGCTCACGTTATATTCGTCAAAAATCGTTTACAGGTTGGTCCCGCATAGAAAACATTTGCAAAACTAAGTCTATTAAGACAGTAGTCAGCACTTCATAAAATAACACATCTCCATGTTAAAAAATTAGGTAACTCCATGAGATCGCTAAAAAAAAGAGCACAGTATGATGAAAAAGACTCCAAACTTGACGAAAACAAAATTTTATCGTCTAAATGTTTATTATTGTGAAGAGAAAAGACCAAAGTTTTTTTTTTAATTATTTTTTAAAATTTTTCCTTTTTTTTAGAACATTCTAAATTTTGAGTAAAAAAAAACAAACTTGTTTCTCTTTGTATCACCGGAACTAGTAAAATAACATATACAATTTTTAGCACGTTTTTTTTTGTATGACACACATTAATTTGGAATCTTGCAAAAATAAAAATAATTGTCTGATGTTAATGAAACTTTCAGAAACTATTCACAGATGATGGAAATTATTATAAATATGTTGTTTTTTTTATTAAAGTCATGACAGAAATATTTTTTTATATTTATTACCCCCCACCCAAACTAATTTTATGAAAACGCTAGAAATTTGATCGAATCCAGTTTAGTGTTTACAATAGTTAAAAGCACAAGACTTTGAGGAATGCAAATCATGTTTTTTTTTGTTTTTAATTGGACCCCCCTACCTGAAAAATCAGCTCTGAATTGTAACATACAAAACTCAATAAAACAAAAATATCATTTAATTTCAAAGGCTTTTATTTGCTTTTAGTTGTTTTTATGAATATGGACAATATTTTCTGAAAGCAAAAACTTTTTTCGCGGAAAAATGAATTTTGAATACAATTATTTGTTATTTCTTTAATTATAATAGATTTTACATTTAAGTTGTTAAAATATAAAATTAGTTAAAAGTCGCATCAGGTTTCCTAAGTCTCCTTATGAGATTGATCATTTTTAGCGCGTTGTAAATTGTATCGTTTTGACTAATCAGAAGATCCGCAGTAATTAAGAAATGTAATTTTGTGCTTATAATCGAGCTGTAATTATAAAATACGGAAGACCAACCAGAATATAATTAAGTTGCGTTATTTGAGTTAAGCATTGTTCTCCGCTGTTAAGGCCTTTACTTTTGCGAAACACGTGTGGAGAAGTTAATTTGATTTTTCAATTTCAACTGAGAAGTGTACCTACAAGTATCAGTATCATCTTATGAAATTTATATGATCTTATTTTTATATTAATCTCAGTTGTGACATTTTTCCATAAATGAAATATCAAAATTAATAATAAAATGAATGGAAATACAAATAACACAGTCAAATGTAATAAATGTACATAAAATTATAGTATTTTATGTACACTTCTGATAAAATTTCATAAGAAAGGTACCTATAAATTAATTAGATACCTTTCTTATGAAATATGAAATTTAATCTCACTCTTAAGAGCCTTATTTTAATTTGTTTATAATATATTTTCCATAAAGCATCGTAAACGCAAAGGTGAAAGCTAAGTACAAAAAAAAAAAAAAAAAAATTAGAGAACTGAAAGTTTTCCTTCAAAATAACGAGGTAAATAATTTGTTCACTTAAATCTAAATAACTTCACTTCTCTCCTTCCATAGAAGGAATTATCCTCACGTAAGCTATCAAAACATCATGAAAATGTCTTTCGTCACCTGTCAAGTGACGCGAAAGGTTATGACGTGCTTTGTTTTATTTTCAAACTACATCTTTTCGGCGCAGAAGCTAAGTTAAGCTTGGTTCAAAATATTTTAAATAAATATTATAATTTCTGATTTTCTTAAAATGTTTTGAAAAAATAATATTTGATTTTTAAGAGTTTCAAACTGAGAGTTTTATTTTTTTATAAAATGGAAAAAAATGGTTGCCATGATTATCTGCCAATTTCGATGACTCAAAAAAAAAAAAAAAAGAAGTTTTTTAACGAAAATTTTGGACGTACTAGGAACGATTAAAAATGTAAAAAAGTAGCCCCACAAATACTTTGATCTTCCTTTTTAGTAATAACATGAACATTTAGACGAAAAAACTTTGTTTTCGTCAAGTTTGGTGTCTTTTTCATCATGTTATGCACTTTTTTAGCAATCTCATGGAGGTACCTATAAAAATGCCTTTCTGCGATATTTTAAACTAAAAGTAATATTTAATTCAAACGACGCCAATTAAACTTTAAATCAGCTATTCTTCATCATACAAAGCTAGTATATTTTATTTTTGAAATATTTTTAATAAAGTGAATTACGTTTGCTGAGAGTATTGTAAATATGGCTAAAATCAGCCATTTTAGCGATTAAAATCAATTCGTATTGCAATTCAACAAAATACTTTGCTTACTGTAAATATTACATTTAATCTATTTGGTTGCAATTGAAACTAAAATAAAAGCGTCAAGAAAGATATGTTTAATTTTTTTAAATCGTTTTAAACCTTAGGTATCGTTTTACTCTGGCGCTACACACATATGCATTGATAAGATGCCTACTGTATACATAGACATATATATATATATATGTATATATATATATATATATATATATATATATATATATATATATATATATATATATATATATATATATGTGTGTGTGTGTGTGTATGTGCATATACGCTATATGTGCATCTATATAATATATATATGTATATACAGTACATATATGTATATATACACTGTATATACATTACCTCCCTTTCTATTCCTTTTATATATATATATATATATATATATATATATATATGTGTGTGTGTGTGTGTGTGTGTGTGTGTGTGTGTATGTGTTGTATATATATATGTATATACAGTATATATAATAATATATATATTTATATTTTTATACACACTATATATATATATATATATATATACACACACACATTCCCATCTCTCTCTCTCTTTATCTTTATATATATATATATATATATGTATGTGAGTGCGCGAGCGCGCGTGTGTGTGTGTGTGCGTGCGTGTGTTCCAGGATGTAATTGTATGTATTTATATTTAAGTATGTCAAGAACTAAAGACAGCCATTAGGAGGTCCTTAGAAGGTGTGGCAGCTCGAGGCTTGGGTATTGTCGCATTGTTTTCTTGTTAAAGACAGTAAAACCGAATCCGACACCAGGACGTGTTTCCTAATTGAGGATAATATCTTAATGACAGGCGCCCTGTTGGCAGAGAAAATGCTTCGGATCCTACCGCCTTCTAGTCTACAGTCTTGCTTTTAGGCAAGGATCTTTTGCTTTTGACCAGAAGATTCTCCATTGCAGAGTCACTCCCCCCCAGTTTCAGACTTGGTGGTCTGCAAGTTATTGTGCAATATATATATATATATATATATATATATATATATATATATATATATATATATATATATATATATCGGAGATATAAAAAAAAAGTCATGGAAGGCAATTAAAAAATATAGAATTAAAAAATGTCCCGCCGTCAAATACAAGAGAATGAAATGAAAGAGAAAGGAAGGAATGAAAGAAAAAAAGAAAGCAAGGAAGGAAAATGAAAAAGGTAGAAAATAAAATAAAGAAAAACAGAAAATTTGAAGAGAATGAAAGGAAGGAAGGGAAGGAGAAATAAAGAAAGAATGGCATTGAAATAAAGAAAAATCATAAAACAATGAAGACAAAGAGAAAGAAAGAAAGAAAAAAAGAAAGAAAGAAATGCAAATGCAAAAAATATAAAAGCCAGGCAAAGAAATAAAAGAAAGAAAGAAATTGATCAATGGACGCAACTGAAGAAGTAGAAAAAGTGAATTAAAAGAAAAATGAGAAGAGTAAGAAAAGAAAAAAAGAAAGAAAGAAGGAAAGAAAGAATGGTAACTGAATTAATATTGAATGTATAAGCAATGAAGACAAAAGAGAAAGAAAGAAAGAAAAAAAGAAAGAATAACAGAAATGAAGAATGATAAAAAGAAATGCAATTAGAAAAGTAGAAAATATTTAAAAAAAGAGAGAGATAAATAAATCAAGTAAGGCAAATGGAAAGTAAAAAAAAGCAAAGCCGACAAATAAAAGAGAACAGAAATAGATAAAGAAAGAAAGAAGTCAGTAATAACACAATAAAAACCTAATAAAAAATAAAACAAGAGAAACCACGATTATGAAGAAGAAAAAAGAAGAAATGAAAATTAATCAATAGAAAAAATCGAACAAAACGCAGGAAAAAAAAAAGAAAAAGAAAATCATTGGAAAAAAATGGAAAAAATTAAAATATGTAAAATGAGAAAAAACAAAATGAAAAAAGAAACAGAAATGAGGATTAAGAAGAAAAACAAAGAAAAGAAAGGAAAATAATAATAAGACAAACAAAAATAACAAATAGAAAAGAACAAAAGTCAGGTGCTATGCATGATACACGCTTAGGTGATCATTTATATTTATTTACATGACTGACGAGACAGATTTTTTCCCGCAGTACGTTACCATTTCTTTTTGCGGAAGACCAGTTGCCATCCAAGGCTATACAACCCGGTCAGTCCTGCTATTTACCCATAGTTTGGGGGAGAAGTAGAGGATTCATACCTTTCCCAAGAGTATTAGCACGTTACTGAATGTAATAGATTCGACTAGAATTTGAACTCGGCTCTCCGATTCCTCAATCCTAGCCGCTAAAAGAATCAAAAAAGAAAAACAGACCTGAAGCAACAGAAATGTGGTTCTACAAAGTTTTAGAGGAAATGAAAACAAAAAGAAAACTTATACTTATCGTCAGGATAAACAGTTGAAATTTCTAGGTCACATAATGAGGAAAGACAGCTTGGAAATCTGTTACTCACAAGGACATACTGAAAGCAAGAGGGACAGATGAAAACAACGCATAACCTACTTAGTGAACTTGAGAAAA